GGGGTTAAAATACCTCCTGAGAGCAAGCTGTTCCACTCCTGAAGAGTCAGTGAACTCTTTAGAAGCACTGAGAACTGCCAGCTATGCTTGGAGAAGTCTTAGGAAAGAAGACTATTACTTTACATCACATGGTCTAACAGTATACTCCTAGCCAGTGATTTTCCCAGGTCATTTCATCTTCATCACTTATACATATATAACTGGAAAAATATACAGCATCATTTTTGACCCAGTTTACTCAGATAAAACCAGTATATAATTCAATATATTTAGCATAATGGCTTTTTCCAGAAGGATACTTCATTACCCTTATTTATTCCCTAACAACATAAATTTAGGCTTTTCACTTTAATTCAGATTCTCAATTTTTCATATGCAAAATAAAGGCATTAGGATAGATTTTGTCAATATTCTACCTGACATTAATATTCTTTGGATCTCTGAATCTCATACTAGAGTCTGCAGAGTTTAGCTTTCACAGAGTTTGTTGTAATAAAAGTGAATGGGATTTTAAAGGTACCTTCTCTATGACTTAGCAATTTTACTTCGAGATATTTCTCATAAGGAAATAATTTGTGCATGCCACTATGATTTATCTATGAAGATATTTCTCTATGTGGATATAAATAACTGTAATCACATTTATTTTAATAAAGTATTTGGTATAGCTTAACTGACAACAAATTAAAAAACTAATTAACTACGGTATGTTCACAAAGAGAATATCACACAGTCATTTAAACCCATGTCAGGGAAGAACAATTACCAACATACAGAAATAGATAGGTAAAAAAGTAGGTAGTCATTAAATATGTATTTTTATAAAAATATATTATATATATATATTTTAAATGTATATAACATGTGTTTATGAAAATCTATAATACTATGTATAGATACTATATACGTATACACTTTAGCACTTATTTATCTACATATATCTACATTTATTTACATATAAATAAGTATTAGTTCTATACAATTCAAATAACTCAAATAAGTAATGCCATGAGTGGTGGGATTACCTGTGATTTTTTATTTTCATATTTAATTTATACTGGATTTTCCAGACTTAATGAGCTGGTATTATTTTTGGACTTCAAAAAATATCTTTTTAGTAGTGGTGGAAATGGACACATTTTTCTCTTTGATTCCTGAAAGGAATCTCAAAAATATCTTCTCCATTCATCTCAGGTTCTCCTTCCCTTCATGACAGGTACTTTCTGGACTCATATAGTCAGGAAGTCAGCAGAGTATCAGAGAAACATTCCCATCAGCCTCTTCCCTTCAAAACAGTCCCACTTCAGGTTTGTGTATCTCTGCCTGCATTGCCCACATTTTCCATCTGCTGCCCCTGCCTTAAGCTGTCCTTCTACCATCTTCCATCTCCATATCTTGAAATTTCTGATCTTACTTCAAGACTCAGTTCAAATGTCTCTTCCTCCAACATGTCTGCATTTCTAATCTCTCCCTCATTCCCTTTCTCTCTGCCCAAACCCCCGCCCTCAAAGTCATGAAGCAACTGGTTTCTCCTATGGTATTTATGGCATTTAGGGCATTTACGTGTTCTGCTTTTTAGTGACAGTGGGCGCTTGCAAGGTTGAAAAGTATTAAAGAATGTGAGAACTGATGAATGAATATTCCATCTGAAGAGGACAATGGTTTCTCAGCTCCAGCCACCTTCCTTTTAGAGGGATATGTTGTCAGGCTTTGCAATATGTCAAGAAAAGCAAGAAATCTATATTTTTTTAAGTGTAAAACCCCTAGTTTTTAAATAGTAGTAGTTCATTAAACAAATAAGAAACACTCTTCAAAATGAAGGAAAAAAAATCTGTGTGCTGAATTTAGCCTTGCAGGCCCAAGTCTGCAACCTCTCCTTAGTCTTACATCCTTTCCCTGTCTATCCTTTGTCACCAGCACAGAGGTTTGCTCATAATGGTTTGCACCAAGGAGGCACTGAACTGCATAAACTATCCAGTTGGTGGGCCAGTAGTAATAAGACCACATCAAAGATCCATCATCCAACCTTAATGTTTGAAAACTTGTTTTGATGCTGAAGAGACTTTCAAAGGTAACATGGAAGAAAATTCTTTCTCTATGACCTAAAACAGTAACTGGTCTTTTTTCCTGTACTTTGTACTAACCCAAGAGCACTGTCAGCACTCAATAAATAATAAATTATAGTCATTTAATTATAGCTTTTATGCATCCAGGTCATGTTTTATTGACTTCATATTTGAGGCAGAATTTTCTAGCACTTAAGAAGACAGCAGTAAGGGATCCAAGGCAAGCAGACGCCAGGCAATGGTCTAAGAAAGAAATGGCAATTTTTATATCTACCTCAGGAGAGCTGAATCAGGCAAGCAAAATAGAAATGAAATCAAGCCAACTGAATACCTCATAGCAGGGCGTGGGAAAGCAACGCAATAGCATCCTGGATCTATAGCATTACCTCACGGCCATTGACCAGAGAACATTACCTAACTGCTTTTGGCTTATCTGAGAGGCACTTTCAGTAAGGATGCTAGAGATGACCTTAAAGTCAGATAGCCAGGCAGAGGATTTAGCCTGGAGATTTGAAAACAGTTCTGCATGTAGGACCTTACTGGAGACTAGAGGACATGAGACAGGATGGAGATCAGAAGTGAAGGATAGCCCCTCCCTAGTGAGGAGAGAAACGTTATTGGCTCAAGAATACTAAGGTAGACTTGACTCCATGGGCACATCCCTGAAAGTAGGCAGAATTCTGTCAAAAGGTGGTATTGCCTTGATGGTACTGGGATGTAGAGGTTCCACACTAAACCAGTCAACACAAAATGCTGCCATGTGACAAATATAGTTCTAAGCAAGAGGTCACAGCCTCTGTTTTCACAGAGCTTTCATTCTAACAGAGACAGAATTAAAATGTGTTCAAAAATGATATGTCAATAAATATTTTTCCAGAAATAACATACAGGTGGCCAACAGACACATGGAAAGATGTTCAACATCATTCATCAAGGAAGTGCAAATCAAAACCACTATGAGATATCACCTCACATCTGTTAGAATGGCTTTTATCAAAAAGACAAGAAATCACAAGTATGGGTGAGGATGTGCAGAAAAGGGAACCCTCCTAACACTGCTAGTGGGAATGTCAATTGGTGCAGCCACTGTGGAAAGCAGTATAGAGGGTCCTCAAAAAACTAAAACTAGAATGACTGTATGACCCAATAATTCCATTTCTAGGTATTTATCTAAAGAAAACAAAAACACTAATTCAAAAAGATACATGCAGCTCAATGTTTATCACAGTCTTATTTACAATAGCCAAGATTTGGAAGCAACCTAAGTATCCATCAATAGATGAATGGATAAAGAAGAGGTAGGACATACACACAATGGGATATTACTCAGTCATAAAAAAAGAATGACATCTGTCCATTCATGACCATATGGGTGGACTTAGAGGGTATTAACCTAAGTGAAATAAGTCAGACAGAGAAAGACAAATACCATATGTTTTCACATGTAATGTAAAACTTATAAAATAAAACACATGAACAAACAAACCAAAAATAGACTTGCAAATACAGAGAACAGAGAACAAAATGGTGGTTCCTTGGGGGAGAAGGCTGAGGGAATGTGTGAAATAGGTAAAGGGGGTTAAGAGATACAAACTTCCAATTATAAACTAAGTCACAAGGATATAAAGTACAGCATAGAAAATATAGACAATAATATTCTAATAATTCTGTATGGTTTCAGATGGTAACTATACTTGTCTTGGTGAGCATTTCGTAATGTATAAAATCATCAAATCACTATGTTGTACACCTGAAACTAATGTGATATTGTATGTCAACTATTCTTCAATAAAATAATAGAAAATTTTAAAAAGGAAATGGTGAATAATTATGCACAATATGAGGAAAATAAAAGTGTGTTAAAACAGAGAATGCGTGGTAGGTATGTGAGATTGCACAGCCAGAGAGGTGCTCCAAAGAGTTGACATATTAGCTGAGGCCTGAATGACAAGGGAGGAGCAGGTAGCACAGACGTAAGGACTGTCTTGTGTTTGAGCCTAAGAAAGAATTCCAATGTTTGAGAACTTTCCAAAGCAAGAGGAGAAGAGGTAAGAGAACAGCTCAGATAGAAGGAAAAGAAACAGACTAGATAGGGTATTGAAAGCCCTAAACAAGGGTTCAGGATTCATTCTAAGTACTTACGAGCCACTGGAGGATTTTAAGCAAATGAGTACTATGAACCCCCCAGCTCATGTTTCCAAAGATGACTATTTCATTTGCAGAATAGGGACAGTGGACGCTTGTCAGTATGTTAGACTGTGGGGTGGTATGTGCTTTGCTGCTGCCCTAAGTTTTGTGGGGGGGACTTAACTTGATCATAGAGGATGAGCTGATGATGAGTCAATACCTGTGGGGTGCAGAGAAACCTGTGCTGTTGTGGGAAAGGAAGTCATGGCCAGAATCCTCTCCACCACCTGCCAGAGCCCTGGGTCTTCCTTGAAACTGCACAGCCCCCTGCTTGTGTTCTGCTCAACTCTTACACAACTGTGAGCTTTATGAAGCAAGTCCCATATTCACTGAATCCTTCTATCCCCAGTGAACTGCACAGTGACTGGCACATGCAAGTGTCTGGGACTTTTTTAGTAGAATTCAAAGGAATTAACAGAATGTGCAGTTGATACTACCCACCTTGCCCTGCCAAAAATGCCAGCAAGCTTCACGGGGCAGAGGTGGACGCTGGGTCCAAGATCTGAGTTCACCATTTTAACAGGCAGGTTGAGGGCCACTGCTCTAGTTGTCCTGTGATAATTTTACTGGAATATTGTGAGCCATGATACTCAAGGCTGATGCCCTTGTGAATTAAAACTATATTCATGGGATTTCATGTACTGACATCTAAAAGGTACCTTCTAAATTCATCTTCTGGTGCAGTGTGTATAAATGACAAACCACAAAGGAATAATTTGACAAGAGAACAATGAATATCATACTTACATAGCCATATTCCAAATCCCAGCACCAGCAGTAATTGCAAAACCTCACAAAACATGCCCGGAGAAAGTCCCCAATGAGGATTGTGACATAGGTGGTCAGAACATCAGAAACAGTCAGCCGCACAAATTCCTGTTGAGATATTATCTGTATTACGAAGAGCATTTCTCCCTTAAAATGATCCTACCGTGGCATTAATATTGCCGTGCTTCCCAATAACATTGCTTGAAAACTGCAATTCGTGGTAAAGAAACTAGTAGGCATATCTAGCAGGCGAAGAAAGTTTCACCCCTATTTCATTAGCCTAAAAATAATTACAGTTGATCCTTGAACAGCATGGGTTTGAACTGCCTAGGTCCTTATATGTGGCTTTTAAAAAAAAAAATAGCTTTGGAGACTTGTGACAATTTGAAAATACTTTTTCTTCTCTCTAGGTTACTTTACTGCAAGAATATAGTATATAATACATATAGCATACAAAAACATGTGTTAATAAACTGTTTATGTTACCAATAAGGTTTCAGGCCAACAGTAGGCATTCCAAAATCACAGTAGCAAAAGCTTCTTTCTTACTGAGGAAGTTTTATAAGCATAACACAAGAACCAAAAATAGGAAAATATTAACCACACAGAAGTTTAAAACTTTAAGCTGGTAAATAGCAATATTTGTAGTGAAAAGAATATCTTGCAAAAAGTATTTGCAGCACACATGGTAAAGGATTAGTTTCTCTAGTACATTTAAAGGTTTACAAATCCATATGACAATAGATGGGCAATCCAATAAAGAAAAAGAATTGACAAATGGCACAAATAAACTCTCAGAAGAAAATACCCAGTTAACTAAAATGCTGGAAATACTTAAATTTTCCTAAGCAGTGTTCTAACTGCCACATAAATAGCAGGAGAGAATTCAGATATTTGATTAAAATGTAAAACTATTTATGCACATAACATAGGAGGAAGTGGTATATAGCTTGAGATATATAACTTACCAAAGAGGTGATATGAGAATTCAAGGAGGTAGTGTTTGGTATATTAGAGGCACTCAAATAATATTAGCCATTTTGGTCATTCTCTTAAGCTGTTGGCTGTTTTCTTTCCTTCCCCAAAATGCAGACCTCAGGTCCCAAGAACAACCTGCTGCCTACCTATCAAATGCCTCTGGCTACATCTTGAGATTTCCTGGAGAGATAAAGGAGCTGCCAAAGTATCTTATATTCAAACTCACAGTTTTGAGTCCTACAGCATCCTTGAGGAAACAAAGCAGAGGGCATCCATGTAGGAGAAGAGCAAACATCTGGAATGTTCTCAGAGAACAAAGAGCGAACCTTTGGGATGCACTCCCAACATTACAGGTAAAGCGGCTGCCTTAACTATTTCTCCTGGAGTCACTTACTTTTTTAAGTGGCTAAAAGAAATCTTTCCAGGTGCATGGATACAGATATTGATATATCATATATATCAGGGTTTTTGTGCCCAGTGTTCTTTCTGTGCCCAAGGATTCCACCTTCCTCATCCACATTCCATGCAGAACCACAACCCCTTCCCTCAAGTCAGCTTCTGCAGACCTGCCATAAGAGCTGAGCGCTCCTTTAGAGAAGGGAAGGTGAAAGACAAGGGAGGAAGGCAACTACAAATGGCAACAAGGAAAGATGAGGAAGCAAAGAAAAGCCTTACAGACAGGATTTTTTTTATAAAGGACAAGCCAGACAGCATAGTCCAGGGACTCCCAAAGAGAATTAAGGAAGTGACTTTTCCTTTATTTTAAGTCAGCATGCATGGGATTATCACAGACGCTTCTGTATAATCAGAAACACCAGTGTGTTCCTAGGCTGCAGTGGCATTCACGTCGAATGAATTGCTTCCTCTTCCCTAGAGGCAGGCTGCCTCAATGGTATTCTTCAGTGTTAGTACTTTTAATCCTACTAATAGAGCTTTGCCTGTTAAAGGGTAGGTTTCTTGGCTCACATGCCATTCTGCTTTCTAGGATATACAGAAGAAAACACTTCAAACTTTGAGTTTGTGAAAACTATGCATCCTAATTTTTCATTTCTTTCAATTTTTTGCGGAAGATTTAGGGAGCACCATGACCAGACGTGGCTTCAAGAAGCTTTGAAACACCGAAACTTATGTACTCCTGTGCATTGACCTCCTATGCCTGCTGTGACAAATTACCACAGACTTAGTGCCTTATAGCAATACTAATTTATTTTCTTAGAGTTCTTGAGATCAGAAGTCTAAAACTTACTTTAAAATCCCTGGTGCAGGCAGCAGGGGGGGATTCTGTGTACTTGCTTTTCTCCATTTCTAGAGGCTGCCTGCATTCCTTAGCTTGTCCTCCTTAGCATATCACTCCAACTTAACTAGGTTCTTCATTTTAACATAAACAGATAGTGAATATCTCCTCACACCATTAAAATATATCATTTCTTTACCCACAACTATAAAAGTAGCATAAAAGTAGTACTTACCTCAACAGATGGACATGGCAATGCATGAGATAATATATATGAAATTCAGAGCCAGCACATGGTAAGCATTCAAAAAATCTTAGCTATTCTTTATTAGTAAGAAATTTTTAAAAATAGCCCACACTTAGAGGAGAAATATAACCTGCTCTTTCTTAATCCATTAATTAAATTGCTTGTGACATTACATGTCTCACCTTCTGTTTGTGACATTACCTGTCCCACCATTGTTTCCCAGCAGGGTCCTCGAGGCACATCTGCAGGGTGCACAAAAAAGGGGGGCCCAGTGCTATTTCCAGTGAGTGATGCATTGTAGGCCTTGATCATGTTGGCTTCCCATAGGGTGATATTGGCCTTTACTAGCTTCTCCTCTTCAATCTAGAAAGCAAAGTGATGGAAATAAAAATGAAGATAACACAGATTTTACAGGCATTTCTAGCACTCTAGAGATTGGGGATGTAAGAACACACCGATGGTAAGAACAATCCAGACACAAGACTTACCTTGTTGTTAATCTCATCCATCAAGGCAAGAATAAATACATACAAGTTGCCTAAGAGAAGAGCAAAAATGCGCCCCAGCAGCCATTTCAGAGCAATGAGGGGATGGTAGTCTTCCAATTCAGCAAATAAGTCAAACAAGGTTGGACAGAACATCCCTAAGAGGGACATGACCATGTTCATCTACAAGAAGACACAAGAGATGAACTAAATTAATAGTGTTTATAAATGATTATTCCTTTCCTCCAGAATTTTGCAAGATTCCAGCTAGCTACTTTTAATCTTTTACAAGAGAAAAGATTTCATGCATTTTAAAAATTTGATCATAATAAAATAACAAAGACAGTATTCAAGTCACATTTTCAAGGTGTGCTTATGTATGTGCAGGTAAAAATAGTCTGTTTCCTGACAGAAGGAGGGATGTAATTTATGTCACTCTCTACCAAAAGAAACACACAACTGTTCTGCAGAGTGACTGATTCTTATTTGGTGGTATACTTCTCAACAGAGCTTCCAACGGAAATGGAAAATGATCTTCTGGAGGAATGAGGTCCAAACTCTTTCGCAGTTAACAGCATATGTGCTAGTTTAATCAGTCAGAAAGGCTGACCTCCCTGAGATGGGACCAAATACTGAATTCTGGGGAATGCAAACTGTTAGGGGCAAAAAAAAAATCAGGAATGGGATTTTAGCAAAGAACTGGTTTAAAATGTCAAAGACAAAAGAATAATGAGAAAGAGAGTGGGAACAGAAATAGGAAAAGTGGGGAACATCTCCTAACTGTCTGGCACCCTTACCACTACATTATATTATTAGTCTAAATTAAATCAAAGAGAAGAATCAGGTCCATATATTACTTTTATGATGGGGAATAGATTCATTTATATGAAAAAGGATTTCAAGTAACTCTGACAACTGTCTTTCCTAAATACCTGGCTCAGACAATCACCACTAAACTTTTCCTATTTCCCCCAGTGGACTCCATGTTTTAAATGGTTAGAACTACCAGATTATATTTAGAAAATAATTGTCAATAGGTTTTTCCCATTTTTATTAAGAACATTATATAAGCATGACCAACAGGAGCTAAAAATCAGCATGACATAATATAAAACCAGCATGAATAATAACTCAGCAGAAAGTAAAAAGTTGGCAGATTGTTTGCATTCTTATGTAAGGTAAACTTAAGTCCTTTCATCAAATTTGTAGTTATTTATAAATCCCCATTATTACCTTTGTTTGGCCTCTAGGATTCAGGGGTCCCCGAAAATGGATGTTAAACAGGTTCTTACAACAAGTGACCTTTGTAATAATAATCAACTATCCATCCTTTACTATGGTTCATTTGTACAAAATTAACATCCACATAAACCGTGAACCAAATGGCATGATGATTTTGCTTAAAATTACTATCACAACTATAAGAGAGAGAATTTTGACAACAAACTTAGTAAATGTTTTGAGGTTCTCCTCTGTTTTAAATTTTTAAAAATCATTCTACCTAATGCCTCTCTATAGGATTCCATGAAATGTCTGTGTTGTTACAGTCTCTTAAATGTATGGTCTCCCATCTCCAGAGCTATCACTTCCGATATGCTTGGAGTATTTTTGTTTGGAGTCTTCTGTTGTATAAGTAGACTATATCATTTTCTGTGCAAGATTTTTCTAGGAAATTTCATGCTTATGAAGACCTCCTTAATTTTTTTGGTCTATATGGCTCTGCAGAACTTTTAGTGTGGAAGTCTATACTTCAGATAATCTAAATCTACAAATACTTTGAAAATGCTCAAGTTCAGAATGGTACCACATCATATGCTGGAACATTCTATGAAAGGAGACAGCACAACACATGATCAATTATTTCCTGATTCTAAATATCTACCACTGACCTCCTTACTCTGACCTGCTAAATGGCATATACACTGAGACAAATCACAATCATAATATTTCATTCCTGGCCAATCGCTGGCCTTCCTCATTTAAATAGCATTTGGAGGGGGAGGAAATAAGTCAGGGGGAAGAAAAGGTGGAGGCATGCAGTTGGGCTGCTAGTGAAAGACAGACAGAAGCCCAGATTTGCCCAGTGTAGGGGAGGCAATCTGAATGTTTCCAGTGAGGTAAACATAGGAACCAAGGGCCTTATTATCACTGCTTCAAAGAACTAGGGCAACAGTTGGATCTTTGAATGACAGCTGCAGGATCTACAGAGAAAGCAATACAGGGCCATGGAAAAAGTGTTGGGCCTGAAATCAAGATTCCTAGGTTTTACCTCACTCTTCTCCATGGTTCTGTGATCATGAACACATCACCTAATGTCCTGAGATTCATTAGCCCCATCTGTAAAATGTACTGGTTGGAATATACATGTTCTAATATCTCTTCCAACTCTAATTTTCCATAATGTCACAAAATGAAAAACAGACAGTAGACACATTTGGAAATAGGACTGGAACAGAGTGGAAAAACATGCAACAGAGTTGGTTAACTCTCAGGGCCATATTTAATGTTCCATCACAGAAGCATAACCCACAAAATCGCAAGTGTCAGATTCTAAGCACATAAAAAGCATGCAGAGACGAACTTCATTTTTTTCCCACCACCCAAGGGTGTCAGGATCTTGCTGCGCAAATTCCTGGGATCGCTTCACAGCCCAAAAGATGAGGTATCCACTCCCACCAAGTGTTAGAAACACGAAGAAGTTAGCAAGAAATCTCAGGAATCTGATCAAGTGGACATTTTCTTCTACTTGGGCTGCTCGTTCTTCTATTATAGCTTCCTGTACCCAGGCAAAACAGAAAAAGAAAGGGGGTGGGTATCTGAGCTTCAAAATGTATCAGGAATTATTTTTGCAAACTTTAGAATGTGAGGAATGAAAAGGTAGTCTAAATCTGGGATTCCACAAACCAGGTAAGGATTGCCAGCCAGTGGAACAAGTAAGAGAAAGAAGGAAGAATTTTTACAAACCAACTTTGATTGATCTAATACTCAGATAAGCTTTCATTCTAAATTCTCTTTAAGTACAGTTTTTTCAAAAACTGCAAAATAATATGGTAGTCATTTTAAATATTGAGCTAACATTCCTGTAAATAATTAGTGAACATTGTTCTATTATTTAAAATATCTGATTCAAATTACTAATGGTTTCCTGTTTCAAGCCAATGGCATTGTTTTATTACCAAATCCAGAGAAGAAATAATGCCGTCATGGGTCATCAGATATTTTCCAGTCATAATCAGAACCCTGCCCAGAACCGATGCAGACATGATGAGTTAATCTGTCTTTTAATTGTCAAGATACTTTGCTAGCTAGACCATATGGAATAGCTCCAATTTTACTCTTAGAAATACAAAGTAAAGGCTCTTGGAGTTGGCATCTTTACCTTAAAGTTCATTGCGATAGAATTGAATTTGTTATCTGCTGTTTCAGGATTGCCAATCAGGTAGTCCCAGCTCGTGAACACCTTCCAGCTAAAGTTGAAAGTATTATCATCACCACCCCCATCATCACCAATATTTTTGGTCATCCTGTAAAACAGGGAGTTTAATTAAGGAACCAGAATACCAAAAGAGGGAGGCAGGGGGAACAGGGAGTGGCAAAAACAGCATAATTATAGGTAAACTGGAGAAGCAATATCTGAAAGATGGATGTTTTTGATAACCAGAAAATCAAAGTTTATTTTTAAACTTTGTTTTTGTTTTAATTTTTTTAACTGTTCATTTTCCACACCTTTAAGTTTAAAAGACTAGCAAGCATTGGTGATTTTAATAATTAAACAGGTTATATAAAAATAGATGTTTTTTTTTATCCCTAAGTTGTTTCCTTAGTGCTGTAGACTTGGTTCTTAACCTTTTGTGGGATAAAAATCTCTTTAGAAATCTGGTGAAAACCATGGGGTCCCTTCCCAGGAAAAAAATATGTACAGACTCTTAAACTATTCTACACAATGTTTGCTGGTTTCCAGACCCCCTGAAGCTTAGGGATGAACTAACCCCAGTCCAATCAGGAAATTCCTACATAGATTTCAATCCCACTGAGAATCTCCTCCCAAGTGACCGAAGGCATGAAATTTCTCTATACTCTGCAACTCTTGACCAAGTATCAAGATTTTTATCCTACCTCATGTCATGTGCTTATATATACCTAATCAGTGGGGGGTTTTTACTTAGAAAATTTAAAATCCATTTACTTACAGGTTTATTTCAGTGGTGAGAGAGATCTATATTCTACTTACTCCACTTCCTTTCTTTCCCTAACCCTGTAAATAGCAGAATTAAAATTTCATATGGCACATATTATAAAATGGTCCCATGAGGTTTTGGTTTTTTAAATAGTAGAGTGATAGGGACTGAAAAAGAAAGGGGAATAAGAGCATAAAGCTGACACCACAGGCTGGCAGGCATTTAAATCCCCCACTGTAGGTCCCACTCCTTACAGAGGTTTATGTATTTTAAATGGACTCATTACAAAAAATAACCAAAAATAAGTATTCCATACATCAGTCTACCATTTAACCTTTTGCAATAGGTGTCTATGAGTATCATCATATTTGTCTTTCCTAAAAGCCTAGAAAAGGTCAAGGTAGTTAACAGTATTCTCCTTTGATAGATGGGGAAGATAAGGGTTAACATCACAAAGTGATTTGCTGGACACTGTCCAGCAGAAAACTACAGAGGCAAGCAAGGCCTTAGGTTTTCTGACTTCGTTCTGGTGCCCAAGCTAAGACACCACGAGATATGCTGAGCAATATAAAAGCCTTTTTGTAGGCTGAAAAGGGTTGAAATCAAACACTTTCAGTGGTTTAACCTGGGGAGAAAATTATTTATTTGATTAATATACCACCACCCATTTTTATGCTGTCACTGAGCAAAGCACAAGGTCTCAAATAAAAATGCATGCTTGACTGATGAGTTTTGAATGGAATTTTACCACTGGCAAAATGATGTCGTGGTAGACAGTGTCCCAGAGAAGGGAGCTCACACTGGAAAGCCAACTGGGAAGGTCCAGCATGCGGGAATGGAAAGTAAAAAGGGAATGGAATGTGGAAAGGAGGGGAAGGATATCAGGGACAAACTGCTCACAACACATTTTTGCTGAGAGATGGTCCTGATAGCTATGAAATGCCCCATGGCAGCTCTACCCCTTGCCTAGAGAGGAAAAAGTATACATAATTATGAAAATTTTTTCCTTCTCAAAGAGGCTAACCGTTGAGTTACTGTATCTATGAGTAGCAATCTCAACATATAATTTGCTTTGCTGGGAGGCTGTAGAAAGGAACTGCTGCACTTACCCCTTTGCCTAGGGTTTTATACTGAACTTCTCACACTGAACTGCAAGGTCCTATCTCCACCTACGCACTGGAATTACCTGATCATTTTGTGGATGCATATGGGGGTTTTAATAAATCAAATAGATGCCTCCATAAAGCCTAAGCCAGCTGAGTCATTACAATGTAGCCTCTGCTAAAATGAGAGTCAGGAAGAGGAAAAGGGTTAAGAGGGAGGTAGGAAGCAATTCTCTAGAAGCTCACAGGATAAGAACACCACATAAGGAAGAAAAATTATAGCGGGGACTATAGTAAACAGCATATACTACATTACATTCTTGAGAACAAAGAAACTACAGTAAATATTTGACTGCAAAGGAAAACATATATATATATACTTATGTGTGTGTGTGTTCGTGTAAATTCACAGTATACTGTACTGCATACTATGAGGGCAGGGATTTATTTTGTTCAACATTAAATCTTCAAACACCAGCAACAGGCCCCTCACCTCCACCAACTGCCCAGAGTAATCACTCAATAAAGAGTTTTAAAATCAATGAACAAATATATGGGTTGTGATTCTGGAAGTAAACTTAGCACTTCGAAGAGTCTCATTCATATAAACACATATAGCAAAAATGGGTTTCACATGGTACAATACATACCATACGCCCTTTACGCTGTTGCTGTTCAGTTCTATCCTTGTCGACATGACAGGTTTGATAATTTCACCTCACTTTGTAAACATTTGCTATTCATCCTGGATTGCTACTACCCTTAGTCTATGCTTACAAGAGGTGAATTTCATGTTGCATTTCATAATCTTAGAGGTAGCTCATTAAGCAATAATATGAAAAGGAACATGGTCAATTTAAGTTTCTCATACTTCACCACTTTCTGCTTGAAGCAGAAAATCCTTACGTTTTGAAACAAGCTGAGGAAGAGAAGACAATCATATGCTTTGATTTTCCAGGACTTCCTGTCCTGTAGACCAACCCCCTCATGCTTCCAGAGCCTGCTGTAGAGTCTGAAACCCATTGTTAGAGACTTCAACCTTGTTATCTCCAGCAAAAATATATCTGAGAAGTAATATATTAAACTGGAACCTATGAGGGGTTGGATTGCTTTTCTCTGAGACAGCTAGCTAAGAGAGATTCCTGTGGTAAAGAAAATTTAATTAGGAGAAGGTAGGAGAAATAATTCTTAGGCTAAGATCTGTGCAAGAATATCAAAAGACATGGAGGACTTTTATTAAGGGTATAAGAAAAAGAATAGTGTCTGGGTAAGCAGATACAAAATAAATGAAAAAAGTGGACAGAGCACTGGTAATCTAGGTAGAAGGGAGAAGATGCATTTCACTTATTTAGAAATATTATGTGAGGTTGGTTAGGATTTCAATGTGAATTATCTTATAAGGTAAAAACATAGTTTTGATAAGGTTAATTTCATTTTGTTTTGTTCTGTTTTTACAAAACTTTTGACCACAGGAGTTACATGAAGTCCATATAACTTCAAAGGAATTTGGCAACAGTCAAGGAACACCTTTACTTTGGGCTGCAAAACTTCAAACTGATGAGGACAACGACGTACGAAAGGGCTGATGGTTTCATGTTATGTAACTTGACACTGTACTGTATGAATTCGCTTTTAATACTTATGTAACTATTTACTGTGAAGATCTCCAAGCTTCTGTTGTGGTTGGTAATGTACACTGCTCTGGAAGGAAAAAAGGAAGGAAAGAAAGATGGAGGGAGGGAGGGGAGGCAGGAAAGGAGGAAGGAAGGCCCTGAAACTAGGATGACCGACCATCTTGGTTTGCCAGGGACTGAGTTGGTTTCCAGGACCTGAGACCTTTATTGCTAATCTATTGGAGTCCTAGGTAAACAAAGTTAGTCACCCTACCTTCCAATTTCCCTATTAGGAGTTAAAAACAGGTGTGTGTCACCACAGAGTGGTTGAGGATGCGGGGGACAAACAGTATGGGCAAAATGACAAAACCCATCAGTAGCCTAACTGATTTTAGAGCTCAGGCTTCTGCTACATGATTTGAGTAATGTATCTCCAAAGCCATTCATGTTTATTCCAACAATATTTTCGATGGGGACAGGGGGAGTAGATTTAAATGATTCTGTACATTTATAGTCCACCAATTCTTTTTCTACTAAGCCTTGTCCCCAGGGCTAGGAGTGGGGTGGGAGTCCTGGGGTCCATGCCAGGGAGGGATGAAAGCCAGGCTGGTTTGGTTGACATAATGTGGGTGACTTTGGGGAGAATGTGAAAGTGGTGCTCTGTAACTGTCCTAAATGGAATCTTTGACCTAATTTTAAAAAGTTGGCATTATCTCTATAGCTGCATTAACCAATATGGTCACCAACAGCAACATGTGGTCACTGAGCACTATGTGACTACCATAAAATACATACAAAAATTCAAAGAGTTAGTACCAAAAAAAAAAAATTATGGTATTTCAATATTTTATATAAACTTATTATGTATAATAAAGATTTTATCTGTCAGTTTTATTTTGATTATATATTAATATAATGCTTTTGATATAGTGAGTTAAATAAAACATACTAAAATTGATTTTACCTACAGATTTAATATGGCTACTAAAAATTTTTAAATTAGACATATGGTTTACCTTGCATTTCTTCACACAATGTGGCTATAGATACTTTAAATTTATCTGCCTGAAAATTATAATAAACACACCAGTCTATTAATGTACAACTGCCTGACCATATGTGACTGCCTTTTCATTGGGTTTATTAGGTGACCTCAATTCTTCCCAGGCTGGCTTTGTTTGATTCTTCACTAAACCTATGGATTATAATCCTAATAAAATGATTAACATCTGTCAGTCACTTACCACATGCTAGGCATGTTCTAAGTCTTTGTTTGTATTAATTCCTTTAGTCCTCATGACCATCCTAAGACCAACATGTTATTACAACTCTAGAGAGAGGGAAACAGGAGAACAGAGCACTTGTGAAATTTGCCAGAGATCTTTCAGCAAGTGGTAGAGTTGGGATTTGAATCCTTGCAGACTGCCAGGGCACACAGACTCCAAAGAGCCTCTGAGAAAAGCTGAGGAACTACACACACAGCAGCATGCTTCCCCAGGCACTACAGAGACAGAAGGACCAACAGGAAGCAATGCCCATGTGGCCTCTGGAATGCAGCTGGCTGTTGTGACTTCAGTCTTGCTGAGTCAAACTGACTAAAAGACTAGAAATATTGTAGAGTTTGGAACAT